CCCTCCGTGTCTCCTGCATTCCTACCACCGATACGTCTTGTCTCGCTGCCTCGTGTAGAACGCTGTAAGCTCGCCCGTATCCATTGGCCCCGTTCACAGCCGAAGTCCGCACATTCCAGGTTGCTACCCTAAGAAGTTGAGCCCGCTGTCTCTTTCGCGCGGCGCGCGCCGCTCTCTTAGCTAGCCTACGCGCCGCCCGACACCTCCTTTTCCCCCATCTTCCCCTCTTTTTTTGTTTTTTTGCTATTTTCTTGCGAACACTCGGGCGAACGTGATAGTTACCCCGGTTCTTGCCTTGTTTCCCATAGAGTTGTCTTCTTGTCCCGGAGCGGTGTGGCCCTCCATCTCTGGACCTGTCTCTTATACACATNACATACCCCCACGGCGTGCGGTCACTCCGCCACCCTCACCGTGCGCTCTGCTGCTGCATAGCCCCGGTGTCCAAGCCGGGGCGTCAGGATATAGTCTCATTTTGCAGCTACCAAAGCTGGCGGCTCAGGAGCTACCCCGATTTCACGACAGCAGTAACTCCCAACCGCCAAATCCAGGATCACCCTTTAAACAGTGCTAGGGACCGTATATCCGTTTTGCTGGGTGGTCTTTCGAGGTCTAGATCCACTTGCGGAACCTCGGCCTACCCCAGGGACGGGGGGGGCAGGCCGGGGAGGAGAATATGTCGCACGATTCGGAAATGCTGATCAGTTTTTGCGATTTTCGCCACATTTTTGAGGAGGATTTTCGATGAACACCGGTGCGGGAGCTCTCCCTTTGCATCGCTTCTTGTCCCCCTCCCTCTGTCTCTCGGAATGATTTCCAAAGACAGAGATGTAATTATGTATGTGACTTCTGCCACACAGCATTCCTTTGGCTCTCAGAGCAAACAGTGTGCCCGCGGTTTGCAGCAGTCTACATGAGAGCGCAGTACAGTGGTGCAGCACCTTCGTTGTTAGAACAACAGCAGTCCTGACTAGCACGCTGGCATCACCCGTCGGTTTTTCTTTGCTCCTTGTACGCGACAGCTCGCGGTCAGGTCGGACGNAGGTGCGGCACCGCCGTTGTTAGAACAGCAGTCCTGGCTAGCACGCTGGCATCACCCGTCGGTTTTTCTTTGCTCCTTGCACGCGACAGCTCGCGGTCAGGTCGGACGTTGTCGTCGTATGTACACATTGTCGGTGCGAAGCACAATGATGTTGGCGTTTCGCGCCACTGCCCTAAATGAGCAACTCCAAGCCGACGGTCACCAAGAGGCTGCTGCGAACTAGTGAAACGGCAGTTTGACGTGGATTAGGTTAGCCATAATGCAGTGCCCCATTCACGTGTAAACGGGATCTACAGAAGCTTTATCTCACCTGCTCAAGACCACCGGCTATGACTCAGGAGTAGATATCCTCCGTATTACTCCTCACGAGGGCTCCACGCACTCACGCTAGCGCTCCGTTAGCTCTTCGTTAGTTAGCTCAGGTTAGCTCAGGTCACGATATCAGCTCAGTTTAGCATGCACTTCAGGCTTTCAGTTTCTTTCAGTTTCTCAGAGCCATGTCTAATGACACGTGGCTTGCCTGGGAGGCGGGGCCCACCCATTGGGAACCACCTCCCTGCCAACGGTTCCAAGATTGGATCACCGCGCCCTCCGCGCCTAATCTAGTTAGACCGCAAAGTCTAGGCGCTTCGCAGTATTCATCCCTCGCCGGGGAAGCTGCCGCTACACTAGAACCCTCCAACGGTATCCTTCGTTTCAACTGTCCTTGTGTGGTTCGTGAGTACAGATAGCGCCCGCAGTTGAGAAACGTCAAAATCGGGTCGAGCCTCATTCCCTTTTTTTGGGTCGAAGGACCGGCCCAACCAAGTCGTCCATTACCTTAAATGGCATTTCTTACTCCTTTGGACTGTCGCATCTTCCCGAATGTCGCAATCCTGACGAGTACTTCGTACTTTCATGTTTCTGTCTTTTGATCTCTGAGGACAATCCAATACGTCACGCCCTCAGGAGAGGAGGTGGAGAGTACCATCAATCCCGTACTACAGCGGAGAGCATGTGGCTGTCCGCGATGTGTGGCAGTACCACAGTACAGCACAGTGAACAGCAGGGGCGGGGGGGGTGTTCTCATAGTCGTGCATGCCGTAGTCGTTAGACCATTGACCTCGCATCCCTACAAAGCCGGGACGGAGCACGCCGGGTTCTCACCGGACCAGGCTCTCACATCACCAAGCGCGAAGCGCCGTGAGATATTCGGCGAGTCGCATGAAGGGTGCGCTGCATCCTGCTAAGGGTGTTCGGCATCTTGTGCTTACTTCCTTGCGTACGGATGACAGCTGCGTATGAATTAATTTATTTTCTGGTGCTTTCACTTCCAGAGACAGTTGTAAGCACTGTGTAACTGCCTCGAGGGTGCTTGACCATTTTAACACAACGTGGTGCGATCATCCCCCTTGCGCGGAGTGAGGGTTCTCCACCCCGCACAACATGATCTACTCGACCACCATTATGGTTACCGCCAAAAAAAAAAACGGAGGAAAAAAAAAAAAACGGTAACCTGGTTGCCGAGTTCACGAAGTGAATTGGCTTGTTTTACAACGTCGTTGCCAAGCGACGAAAACCCAACCCCGATGGTAAACACCGGGGGCGGCGGGGGTGTACTGATAGTCTCATAGTCGTGCATGCCGTAGTCGTTGGACCTTTGACCTCGCATCCCTACTAAGCCGGGACGGAGCACCCCGGGTTCTCACCGGACCAGGCTCTCACATCACCAAGCGCGAAGCGCCGTGAGGCATTCGGCGAGTCGCATGAAGGGGGAGCTGCATCCTGCTATGGGTGTTCGGCATCTTGTGCTTACTTCCTTGGGTACGGATGACAGCTGCGTTTGACTCAATGTATTTTCTGGCACGTTCACTTCCAAAGACAGTTGTATGCACTGTGTAACTGCCTCGAGAGTGCTTGGCCATTTTAACACAACGTGGTGCGATTACCCCCTTTGCGCGGAGTGGGGGTTGTCGACCCCGCACAACAGAATCTGCTCGACCACCATTCATCATGGTTACCGCAACAAACGAAACAGAGGTAAAAAAAATTGGCGGTAACCTGGTTGCCGAGCTCACGAAGTGATCGGCTTGTTTTACAACACCGTTGCCAAGCGACGAAAACCCAACCCCGATGGNGGGGGGGGGGGGGGGGGGGGGGGGGGGGGGGGGGGGGGCGTACTCTTCTTATGTTTTGCATGCCTTTGCGGTTAGATCATTGACCACGCGTCCTCGAGAGGACGGAGCATTGTTTCCACAGGACCGATTACCGATGGCCAATCGTTCCTTCCTACTTTGCCAAACGTGGCTCAAAAAAGTCTTCCCTAGTCCATCTATCCGAACGATATCACTTCCCTCCTTTTCAAACCACTTCCTATTTCCCAGTACCGTCCTCTCCTCTCTATTCCATGCGTCAAACATCTCCATGTACCTTCCCTCTATTTTTCCCAGCTCAGTCCACTTTCCTCTCCTTTTCGTGCAACTGACATTCCGCGACTACATGAACCCGGACTTCGCATTCGAAGCCGCAATCACACCTGAACTTGTGGTCTTCGCCGTCTACCGTCCTATTATGTCTTCGTCGACGTTCTCGAAGGCCTATCTCTGTCCCCGTTCCTGAATTTGACCCTAAGCTTTGTCCCTGCATTCATTTTGGTCCATGTATTACGGGTACATTGTTACGGTTGATAGGAGTTGCACCTTTGGGAGGATGCGTTATTCCCAACAGGTACTAGCAGTAAGGTCCGGTTTGCCGGGCCCCGTCTAGAGGCCAGGTTGCTCGGTCCCCTTGCCTTCACTTGACTTGACTTCTTCATACTACTTCTCCTTGCTTGCCCTGAGCTAGCAATAATCAACAAGCGAATACCGTATCCACGACCGGAGACCTTCCACTCCTTGTCCCAAGCCACCTTCGAGGCTCACTTCTACCGCTGTTCCGGCTCATCTACCGAACTCGGTACCGATCGAGAGGCAGCTACCATCAGGTCTGTAGCAGCGCTTGTAGGTTGGGGTCCCATGTGCAATCCTCTGTGGACAATTCCTCTTGACACCCAGGATGTCACTTGAATGGTTAGAGACCACACAGACCCACACAGACATCGGGCCAGCCCCTATCCCTAGCCTCTCCATCCATTTTGTGGTGTCCAATCCGAGAATCGAACTCGGGTTTGGCCGACTTCCACCTGTCCGCCCTTCGAGCGTTGCCTTTCGCTGCGTGTGCTGCAGTTGACCATGAGCCTGATGCCCCCCGCCGCAGCGGCCGGACCCGTACCCCTTCGGTACGGTTACGACAGATCGGCGACGCGCAGCTGCCCCCGACAAGTGTACTGGAGGCCCTCCCGGACAGAGAGGTCATCGGCCCCTCCGCGGTGGAATCCTCCGCTCCGGCACCGTCGCCATTGACACTACCGCCGTCTCCCGTTCGACATGGCCACGACGACATCGGTGAGGTGCTGGCTGCACGGGGGGAGGTTCCGACGTCGTAGTCGAGCCACGCGTCGGATGGAGCATCAGCCATCGATCTGACAGCACGAGTACTCACAAGGCCGTCCGAGCTAGCGCATCGGCAACGAGACGACACCCATCTGAGTCAGGTTCGCAAGGTTCTGAGCAATGTAGTTGACTCTAGCCAGGGGGGAAGTGAGCGCGACAGGTATAGCGTAGGCGCGGATGATGTGATTCGGTCCAACGATGGGAAGGGAAGAAAACTGCCTGCTATTCCAGTCGCCATGGTAGCTGACATCATTGCGTTGGTACACACGCTACATGGTCATGCAGGAGTAGGAGCAACGCTGTCCCTTCTGCGCGATCATTTCCACTGGCCCACGATGACGAACGACACTCGACACTATGTGTTGTCACGCGCCTGTTGTAGGCGCAAGAGACCGCCCAGCAGACGAGTAGCCATGATGCCAGGTAGACCGCTTGAGACGTGGAACGAGTTGCAAATGGACATCCTCAAGATCGACACACCATCGCAAACTGGCAACAACCACATCTTGCTCGTGGTAGACCGCGCCTCAAAGTTTCCCTTCGGGTTCCCGCTCGAAACCAAACAAGCTGTAGGCGTAGCCCGAGTGGTGGTAGAGCTGTGTCTAACTTACGGAGTTCCAAAGACGGTGCGCTGCGACGAAGGCCCAGAGTTTGGTGCAGAAGTGATGAAGCACTCGTGCAAATGGTTGCGGGCAAACATCGTGTTTGGTGCTGCTGATCACCCTCGAGGCCAAGGATCGGTAGAGAGACTGGGGGGATGGCTGCAGGAGTTGTTGGCTGAGCTGTGCAGGCTCTGGCCTGACCGATGGGATGAGTATGTTTCGCCTGCGATGTGGATCAAACGCACCTTGCCAGACACCTCGCTCCCATCTAATATGACCCCCTTCGAGCTCCTGTTCGGCCGCAAGCCTCGCACGTCGCGGGATTCGTTAGTTCCCCTTACGGACGAGATGGATCAGGAACGAGGAGTCGACAACTTCGTGGAGAGGCGCAAGCAAAATCTCCGTGAAGTAGGACTCGCCCTCGAGAAACGGCAGGAACCTCGAGTTGCTGCACGCGCGAAAGCCAACGCCTCTATCGATAGGTCGTCAGCTGGAGTGGGGGTCGTGAAGGACAGCCTGGTGCTCGTGAGCGAGTCCGAGAGTAGTCGACATCGTGCCCACAAGGGAAGAAAGCTTCAACACGATCTCTACACAGGACCGTGGAAAGGGACGGGGGTGATCCAGCCCGGTCTCAGTGTAGAAGTCATGATGCATGGTAGAAAGAAGCGTAGCCGACGGGTATCTACGGCCGACGTGAAACCTTTCCACCTCCGAGAACTTCCTTTCCGACACTTGTTAGCCGAAGAGTTCGCCCAGTATGCGTGGGGACCCGATTTCAAATTGCCTCCAGGGACTCAAGAGAGTTTGGGTCTAGTCACTATCGCCGACTGCCGCAGAGTTCAACCAGCTTCTGGCATGCGAAGTGTTTGGGAGTACAAGGGTAAGTCAGGGAACGGTGTTGTGTCGGACTGGCTGTCGGAAGAGACCATGCGACGCATTTTCACACCCCTTCAGTTGGATTGCTTCGTTGCTCTCTGGCATTTGTATTTTCCCCAGCTGGGAAACGCTTCTGCACCCGAGTCAGTCAAGCTCCGTACCCCGTTGTCCCGCGCCCAAGCCTTGCACGTTTTCCCGATAGGTTTTACCTTCCAGAAGGAGTTAGGCGGAGGAATCGTACTTCAGGGTCAGGTGTATGACTACCTTTACCCCAACTGGCGCGTGCGCTACACTGACGGGAACTGGGAGGAGCTGTCCGGACGCGAACTGGAAAGACCTTCGAGATAGCCTTGGGGGGAGGGATTTCGAGCTAGTGTGATTGCTGGACGATGGGGATGCGTGGGGTTAGTGAGACCGGTTGCGGGTGATCATGGATGTCCGTACAAGATTCGGTCATATGTATGTACCATGGATAGTTTTTGATTATTGTTGATAAGAGTTTCTTTTGTTCCGGTTTTAGACTATGCATGTCCACTTGATTTTTGAGTATTGTTGATAAGGGTCTTTTGTTTCGGTTTTTATGCATGTCACATTGATTTTTTGAGTACGCCACCCAGTTGAGGTTCGGTAAAGCTTAACTGCTCGGAGACCGTACTAGCCAGCCAGATGTCCTGATCTGATTTGCAGTCGAAGGGTGGGTCCTGCGTCCGGTAGCACCCACGAGGGTTTGTTTTGTGTGCTAGTCTGGTTTGCAGTCGAATGGTGGTCCTGTGCCCGGTAGCGGCCAAAAGGGTTTGTGCTGTTGTGCCGTGGCATTTGATTGGGTTTGGTGTTGTAGGTGCTTTGCGCAATGGCCTTTTTCCTGGGTGACCAGGTTTTTCCCGCGCTGTAGGTGTTGAGAGCCGGACGGCAACTACAGTGAATTCACCACGCGAGGGACGGTTTTTTGTTAGAGTATTTTACGTCCGAGTGTCACTTGGTGTTTTCGGTTGTTAAGTCTAAATTATTGGGCTCTCGGGATGGGGAGCGAAGCGTTTGTCCCGAAGGCCGGGTTTTCCTTCGCGCAAGTGGATGTCGGGCCGTGGTTCAACGCGCAGTGAGAATTATGAAGAGGGGTGGATTTTATTTGGGTTTTACCACTATTCACCTCTTGTAATTTTCGGTTGAAGGTTCAGCCTACTCAAAGACATTGCATGGTAGTATTCCAAAAAGAAGCGTGTCACTTTGCGGTTTACACATTTCCTGCTACCGTTTACTAGCATGTGACAGCTGACAAATAGCTGTTCATGCTAATGGGGGGATGTTACGGTTACATTGTTACGGTTGATAGGAGATGCACCTTTGGGAGGATGCGTTATTCCCAACAGGTACTAGCAGTAAGGTCCGGTTTGCCGGGCCCCGTCTAGAGGCCAGGTTGCTCGGTCCCCTTGCCTTCACTTGACTTGACTTCTCCATACTACTTCTCCTTGCTTGCCCTGAGCTAGCAATATTCAACAAGCGAATACCGTATCCACGACCGGAGACCTTCCACTCCTTGTCACAAGCCACCTTCGAGGCTCACCTCTACCGCTGTTCCGGCTCATCTACCGAACTCGGTACCGATCGAGAGGCAGCTACCATCAGGTCGCATGTGCAATCCTCTGTGGACAATTCGTCGTGACACCCAGGGTCTTGTCACTTGAATGGTTAGAGACCACACAGACCCACACAGACATCGGGCCAGCCCCTATCCCTAGCCTTTCCATCCGTTTTACATGTACGTAATCCTTGAACCCTATTCCTTCTTTCAACATTCCGTACACTTTTATATCCTCCTTATCCTCGGCGGGGGGTCATTTGCGGGGGGGGGACGGGGACAAATACCCCTGTATCCCCGGATTTTACGCCGAGGATTCGGCGCTTTGGCGTCAGGCTCTCTAGCCCAACCCTAAGCCTAACCATAACGCTCTCTCTCCCAGAGAACGTAGCGAGACACCGCGTGAGAACTCGTGAGCAGGCGTACGCATGAGTAAGCGGGGAAGATTGACCACGTCGAACGTATCCCTACAAAACTAAGGCTACGAGTAGATATGCGAGACTATGTTCGCTGTTGTGCAGTGCTAGAAGCAGCATTGGCAAGTAGTTTGCAGGGCAGGTCGTTGTGTTGCATGGTGCTTAGATGTGAGCTGCTTCGCTCATCAAACCGAGCGTTTTCCGACGTAGACTGCTGTGCCTTCTATTGTAGATGCGGGGCGCTACCGTACGTGTGTTCCTGTAGCACAGCTGGGTGAGCGTGGGCCGGCTTCTGACGAGCAGATGCAGAAGGGGTATCGAGAGCGACGCATGTTTGCAATCCATCTATCCAAATGGTAACTTTCGACGATTTGTGGTAATTTTTCGAGTTTCTCCCTCCTGCGGGGGGGGGTGGAGGTGGGGTGTATGTGTCCGGAATTTGTTTTCGCGAAGACCCTCGCTGCCCCCTACAACAGAAAACTGCTCCACTCCTGTTCAGCTAGGCAGGGGGGCGGGAGCACCGAAGCTTACTGATGTGGGCGTGTCGCACCGTTTTCTTATTGGGGCGTTTCATATGTTGTGGCCGAGATCGAGCTATGTTTCTCAGTCCTTTTCTCTTACTTCAAAACTTGGAGCCTTTTTTCTCTACACAAGTCTTCTTTTGAAGCACCTGCGGGCTCGATCTGTACACTATACGGAGGGAGCATGCCAAATTGTCCTCGAGTGAAGAAAGATTTATCCCGCTCCATATTTATTTGTGTTCGCCCTCCCGACACAGCAAGATAGGGGGGTGGGGGGGGGGGGGGGGGGTCTTTNTAGACCATTGACCACGCATCCTCGAGAGGACGGAGCATTGTTCCCACAGGACCGATCCCCCATGGCCAATCGTTCCTTTCAGCAAGGGAGGGGAGAGGCGAAAATCCTTCGTGATACGAATATGCTGTGATATGCTACAAATCAAGCGCCATCATCGACAGGCTACACCAACCAAAACCACAACGACAGTGTTTGCAAGCACAGCAGTGCAAGCTTGTTTGGGTGTTCGGTTCAAAGCTTTGTTTTCATTCACAGGACACCAGTTCAGTTCAAAGAGGTGCAAAGCGAGAACAACTTCGATCGACGCAGCACGCCTCTCGAGTGTACGCATCATGGTCAAGCCTGACNGCATGTCTTAGTGGTTAGACCATTGACCACGCATCCTCGAGAGGACGGAGCATTGTTCCCACAGGACCGATCCCCCATGGCCAATCGTTCCTTTCAGCAAGGGAGGGGAGAGGCGAAAATCCTTCGTGATACGAATATGCTGTGATATGCTACAAATCAAGCGCCATCATCGACAGGCTACACCAACCAAAACCACAACGACAGTGTTTGCAAGCACAGCAGTGCAAGCTTGTTTGGGTGTTCGGTTCAAAGCTTTGTTTTCATTCACAGGACACCAGTTCAGTTCAAAGAGGTGCAAAGCGAGAACAACTTCGATCGACGCAGCACGCCTCTCGAGTGTACGCATCATGGTCAAGCCTGACACGACTACTCGACAAACCCAACAGAGCAAAACAGGCAACAGCATCTACCGGCGCCATCCACAAGGCCAAAGCGTCGCAACACCAGGCGCAGTCGACACAAAACACCAACAGCATGGGCCCCGATCTCCTAACCCCCTCGCCTCCGAACAGTAACAGCACGCCTCACGCTAGAGGGTGCACCGCACGAACCACCCACGGAATACACGGCCGGTATTTTCTACATCCGTCGACATGACTCCGTTTCTAAGAGCCCAAATGAACACAAAACGCCGCGTATCCACAACATCATCCGGGTCTCGGTCTATAAAGGAAGAGATCAGCCCTTCCCCTATAGCAGATTCTAAACAAAATAAATTAAAACATAACCACAAAACGTCACCGCTACTCACAAAAGCGCGCCCTGCAACAAAACCGGTGCAAAAGGTCTGAACGACGCACGGGCTATAGTAATCTAGTTGAAGGTGTACCCCGCGCCGAGGAGGTCGTTGATCACGTACGGCTTGTTGTTCAGCTCCTCGTGCACCATCAGAGCTAGGATGCCCATCTGTGCCGCGCGCCCGTTGTTCAGCTCGATCGCGCGCTTCGACGCCTGGGTCTCCTCCGACATCGCGTCCCACGAGGACGCGAACGGGTTGCCGCCGTTCGTGAAGTCTCCGGGGAAGGAGCCCTCCACGTTCTTCATCACAGCCAGCTCAAGGAAGCCCACGAACGCGAAGATCTGCGCGAGGCCCGCCGGGGGGATCTTCGACAGAGCGGCCACGCCGTTCGGCATGTCCGCGAACGACAGGTCCGCCGAGTTCGACAGCATGCCGGGGAGGCGGACGTTCTGCTGGGTCAGGTGACCGGCGATGGCGAGCATAGCGATGCGCCCGTGCTTCACCTCCACGTACCGGAGGCGCTCGAACCGCTCCTGGTCCGCGTCCGCGAGGAGGCCGAGCGGGTCCCAGAATCCGAGCGGGGGCTGCGCACCGATCTCCGACTCGAACGACATCTTCATGGCGGAGGGCGACTTGGCCGGGGTGGCGACGGCGGCGCCGTTGAACGCGCTGTGGTGTTGAGTCGGTGGGGGTGGGCGAACGTGGGGGGAAAACGGGGAAAAGGGGAGGAGAGGGAGGAAGGAAAACAGGAACAGCGATTAGATTCCGGAAACCGCTTTCAAGCGGATTGAAAAGCTGAGAGCAGGCACTGGCGGATCATTTCAAACTCCCTCTCAACAACGCGGAACAACACAAAAGCGAGGTGCTCCTGGCCGCAAAATCCCCGCCAAAGCAGAGGTTCAACCACAGCTGACGCGTGGGATACGTCGAGGGACTTGAGTCTGTTGAGTGGAATCGACGGGAGACTTGTGCCTTTTCAAACGCGAGCGCCTTGTCAAACGCGAGCGTCGCACAACAGCAGTGTTGTTTGTACACAACCTTCTTCATCTCAAAGCAATAAATCGCGGGTCGTTGTGTCGAGACAGCGTCGTGCGTGCAAGGAGCGAGGTACTTACGAGTGAGCACGTACGCACATGCAAATGGGTTCTCTGTCATGTTAGTCTAGCTGATACAACTCGTTGTTCTCATACCCTACGCACCGATCTGCTGCCACCGAGCCGCTGCTAGAAGTAAGCGAGTTGGAGAAAAGGAAGGGCACAAGCAGTTCTTTCAGTTGGGACGAACTTGAATGTGGAGGCTACGAACTNAGTTAGTCTAGCTGATACAACTCGTTGTTCTCATACCCTACGCACCGATCTGCTGCCACCGAGCCGCTGCTAGAAGTAAGCGAGTTGGAGAAAAGGAAGGGCACAAGCAGTTCTTTCAGTTGGGACGAACTTGAATGTGGAGGCTACGAACTTTTCTGGACATCGAACTCTGAAACCTGAAGCGGGCTCTCCACAACAGCAGGAGAGCGGCTAGAGTGTGGGATAGACGAGGAGCACATGCAATAGCATAGTAGCACCACCGCGAACAACAAACGGGCGCATGATCACCTTATCGTGTACCCATGACAAGAATCACAGCAACCGAGCGATTGCGATCAAGCAGGCCTCCAAACTGCTGCTCTCACCTGGGTGCCACGAAGGCTTGGGCTCCGGCCACGCAGGCAGCGGCTACAGCGCAGGACTTCATCTTGATGTGAGGTGGTGGTGTGGGGAAGAGAAAGGTGCAGGTGTGGTGGGCAGAAAATGGAGTGACCGAAGGTAGCGGGGGCGTGGGCTGTCATTCCAGAGAGAAAATCGACCAGCCGTCCCCAGATGACATCAAGTACAGCTTGGCCAATCGCAGACCGCGGGACTGTTGTACACGAGCTCAGGGTTAGTTTCGCCGCATTTGTTCATACTNGAAAATGGAGTGACCGAAGGTAGCGGGGGCGTGGGCTGTCATTCCAGAGAGAAAATCGACCAGCCGTCCCCAGATGACATCAAGTACAGCTTGGCCAATCGCAGACCGCGGGACTGTTGTACACGAGCTCAGGGTTAGTTTCGCCGCATTTGTTCATACTCGAGGCCTGACGGCCCGACCCACTACTAGATAATAGGACAAATAAACACATACACGAAAGACTACCAGTTCGAGATATACCCACTACTGTCTGGGCGGTTGTGAGATCTTGGACTTGCGTTTCTTGCGGGAAACAGGGTGTTGCGTCTGCGCCAAGCGCTCTGACGTTCGAAGCAGTTGGATCTACGATCTCTCTTCATCTTGCCCACTGTTGGATAATCCGGGTAGGCCGAAGCTTGTAGGTTTGTGGAGAAAAGCAGCTCGGCCAGTGAGGGCCGAGATGGGAAAGTCTTGTATTAGAGGAAAGAGGGAAGGGCAGAGACCACTCGAGGNCTTGGACTTGCGTTTCTTGCGGGAAACAGGGTGTTGCGTCTGCGCCAAGCGCTCTGACGTTCGAAGCAGTTGGATCTACGATCTCTCTTCATCTTGCCCACTGTTGGATAATCCGGGTAGGCCGAAGCTTGTAGGTTTGTGGAGAAAAGCAGCTCGGCCAGTGAGGGCCGAGATGGGAAAGTCTTGTATTAGAGG